AGGTAGATAGATAGATAGATAGATAGATAGGTGATTTTGATGGCATTGAGAATTAAGCCCAGGCCTTTTGCACCAAGCTACTATTTTTATTTTGAGACAAGGTCTTTCTCAGTGCATATGTTGCCTACGTGGGGCTTGACTTTGTCGTTCTCTTGCCACATACTCCCAAATTGCTGCAGTGGCAGGTGTGTGTCGCAAACCCTGTGAATGTGTTTAATTTTTTTTTTTCAAATATATTTCTAGTAATAGGGTAGTGCTATCAAAAACAAAAACAAAAACCAACATGTTAAAATTTAAATTTCTTAATTTCCAAAAAAACTTACACCTTCATTTTATACAGGTGCCAGTAATAGTACAGAGTTGACTTTACTATAACCACTATAGTTTATTGTTTCAGTTTGTGCTTTGTGGATTAATTGAAGTCTTAGCTATTTAGGAGTGTAGAATTCTCAGAAAAATTTACCTCTAAGATAGTATCTTGTCTCTAGGAAATGTAAAAGTGAAGGAAAAGGTGATGAATTACTGAATGGAATGTCATGTAACTAATGACAAACATGATTTAAAAAATCAAAATTAATAAAGTATCTTTAAAATTAACTCTTTTGAGAGAAATTTGAAAAAATCAGGGGCAAAAAGACTGTTAAAGTCATTCTGTATGTTTTGTCAAGAAGCCAGGCACATTTTAAAATTTTATCTTTTAACACTTTACAAAGTAGTCTGGCATCGTGGTTTTTGCCTGTAGTTCCAGCTACTCAGGAGGTTGAGGCAAGAGAATCATGAGAGCAGGTGTTCTCAACTAGCCTGAGAACATAATGAGACCTTGTTTTGTTATAAATGTATTCATAAATATTTGTATGTTTAAGTTTCATTCTTTGTGCCAATGTGTTAGAAATAATTTTTTTTGAATTTAACCATATAGACATGGGACGCCGGTCATCAGACACTGAAGAAGAAAGCAGAAGCAAGAGAAAAAAGAAACATCGTAGACGATCATCTTCTAGCAGTTCTTCAGACAGTAGAACATATAGCCGAAAGAAAGGTGGAAGGAAATCAAGATCAAAGTCGAGATCTTGGTCCAGGGATCTTCAGTCTCGTTCACATTCTTATGATAGAAGGTAGTTTTCATAATTTTTATTTATTATAAATATTGAAGGTAGCATTCTTTGAAGCTCATATGTTTTTATATTTTAATTTGGTTGGATAAAGTATTTTTCTTTTCTTTTTTTGAGACAGCGTCTTGGGATGTAGTCCAGGCTTGCCTTGATCTTGCTGTGTAGTTATGGCTGGCCTGGAACTTGTAATCCTCCTACCTCAACCTCTGAAGTACTGTATGCCAAATTTTTTCAAAGTATTTTTAAGCTGGGTATGGTGGCATATGCCTATAATCCTAATACTTGGGAGGTTGAGGCAGTATGATAGCTGAGAGTTTGAGGCCAGCCTAGGCCTCATAATGAGTTCAAGGCCAGGCTAAACTGCATAGCAAGACCCTGTCTCATAAAAAGAATAAATTTTTTTTTTCTTTATATTTTTGTGCTACTGGGGATGGAACCAGGACCTCACAGACATTAGGCAAGCACTGTACTGCTGAGTTGCACCTAGAGCCCTTACTATTTTTCTTTCGGTAGTTATTTATGAGAGCTGAGTACTAGCTCAGAAGGTCTTTCTCATCAGGATTAGTTCATGGGTCTGGCGCACACATCCGTTGTCTTTTCTGTATACAACTAGATAGAAATAGGTGTGGTTCTCATACCATATTATCTGATGACATTTGGAAAGACTATTCTACTTAAAACCAATGATGCTTAATTAGTACCTGATCATAATGCTTTACTAGCTGATTTAATCATTAAATTATTAATTATCTCTTCAAGAGAAATAACAATTTGTCTGTTTACTCCAAGGAATGAGCGAGACAGTAAAATAGGATGATTTTTTTAGTCTCTAGATTTGTCCTTACTGCCTATAGCAAGAACTTTTTAATAGTAATGATAGTTGATTATGTTTTATTTCAGACGCAGGCACCGGTCTAGCAGTAGCTCTTCTTATGGCTCTAGAAGAAAACGAAGTCGAAGTCGTTCAAGGGGTCGAGGGAAGTCTTACAGAGTTCAGAGGTCTAGGTCTAAAAGCAGAACAAGAAGGTAGGTCTTACTGGTATTTATTAGTCTGAGACAAATACTTTTCAAATTTAGTGACTTAAAGCAATCCTCATTTGTTTTTGCTGTATTCTGCAATTTTGACTGCCCTCAGCAGATGATTCTGCTTAGCCACTTGCGCATTTGTAGTCAGTGGACAGCTCCACTACAGCTGACTGGTTCAATATAATGCCAGATGTATGTGGATTCTCATTCTCTAGTAGGCTCTGTTGGGCTTTTTTATATGATGGAAGTATTTGAAGAAAGTTTGTATAAAAACTGCAAAATAAAAATAAAAAAAAACCAAAAAACTGCAAAATCTCCAGGTCGAACCTCAGAAATAACATGGTATGTTATGGACAGAATATTTGTGTCCCAAATTTCAGCTTGTTGAAGGTTCAATTCTCATCGTTACTGTATTGGAGATAAGACTTTTATAGAGATAATTAGGATTGCATGATGTCTTAATGTTGGTGTCCTACTCAGAGAGATGGTGGCCCTGTAAGAAGAGGAGGGAGAGAAGTCTTTCTGTGTGCTCAAGTGGGCCTATCTGAGGAACAGCAAAAAACACTACCATTTATAAGACATGAGAGCCCTCACAAGGAATCAGATTTGTCTACACCTTGATCTTGGATTTTGGTCTGCAAAACAGAAATACATTTGTCTTGTGAAGCTGCCTGACCTATTTAAAAA